GGGAATGCCTACTAATCCATCCTTGTGAGTTTCTTCTGTCTTCTCAGACGGCCCAGAAGTAGTGACATCCCACCAATGATGGGCACATCTGGATGTCTAGGGCTCATGTCTAGGGCTTTCTAAATGTCATTTTCCAACAAAAGGAACTCCAGCTCCCCAGTGAAGTAGTTGATTCTAGAGCTTGGCTCTGGGAGCTAAGAGTTAAGTCTGGCTTGTATGCTGGTGCTGCAGAGTGAGGCAATGCTCAGAAAGTGGTGGGGCTTGGGACCAAGGACAAAGAGGACCCTGAAGGCAATTGTCGTTGCTAGGCTGGAACTATTTGTGTACCCAAGATTGGATTATGATTGTGTTTTCTCCCATAACCATTATCATCCCTTCACTGTTGTCTAATTAACTTGTATTTGCATTTACTGCCTGTCTCGCCTCCTACCAGCACAAGAGCCTTACAAAGGTGAGATTTGTTCACAGATCTATCCCGAAATAGGGCTCCATCAGCACCCACAAAGTACCTGGTTCATAATGCATACTCAGTAACACTTTGTGGAATCGGGGAATTTTCTCCTCTCTCCATCAGCACGTAGACTGGGGAACTGGATGTTCTAATGGAAACAAAGAACTTGTCCAGACCGTTGAACACCAAGCATCAGCAGCTGCCGCCACACCGTTCTCTGCCTCAGTGCCTCTGAGCCTCATGCAGGCAGGCAGGGGTAGCCTGTGGGCACAAGCAGTCTGGAACATTCCCCAAGGCTGGTGTATGGCATCCTGGGAGCCACCACCCAGGCAGTAGGTCTGATGGTTCCCCATGCTCTCAACAGGATTCTCAGGGCAGCTGTAGTTATTGTGGAAACTCTGCAAGAAGTTGACTTTTGTAGGGCTGGCTGAAAATCCGCTCACACCCTTACCTCAGCTGAAACAATATTGTCTGATTACTTATGAAAAATACAGAGGGAGCCCAGAGAGGGACAGGGGATCTGTGTTCTAAGACGATTGTACAAAGTGGCTAAAATAACACAGCAAAACTGCATTGTCTTTGAGTTCTGGAAGCCAAAAGTCAGAATCAAGGTGACCTGGGTCACACTTCCTGAAGTCCTGGGCACAGCCCCTTCTTCCCTCTACCTAGCTTCTGGTGGCCTCAGGTATCTCTTGGCTTGTGGCTGCACCACAGTTTTGCTTCCATCGTGATAGGACTGCTGTCACAATGCCACCTCTCTGTGTGTCCCTTTTGGTGTCCAAATGTCTCCTTATATAGGACACAGGCAGGTTGGATTAAGGGCCACCTTTGTAACTTCACCATAACTTCAATACCTCTTTTGGGACCCTATCTCCAAATTGGGTCACATTCTGAGGACTTCAGCATAGTTTTTTGGGAGGATAGCATCAAACCTATTAGAATATGTAACTACCAAGTATAGAATGTTGGAGTGCAAAGAGACGTTTCCTCCCATTGTAAAAATCCCATCCGATCCTCTCTCTCTGCATGACCTGCCCAGGCTCTCGGACATAGGAGGTTGTCAGAGGAATTCACCAAAATATTAACTGCGATTTCTGTGACCCTCTTGGCCACCCTCCTGATTTGACACTTCATGGCTTTTTTGCTTCCCAACACTCCTAGGCAGAGCTACTGGGAAGAGTGAACACAGGCTGCTATGTCCGCTGGGGACTCTGTGATTTGAACAGGAGTGAAAGAAGAGAAAACGTGGGGGCAACAGAGCATGCGTGGCACAAGTGGAGGCAAGGCCAAGAGATAATTAACAGCTAGCTATAAATTAGAGGAGCTAGGTGATAAGGGCCTTGGGCAGCCTATTACTTGGGGAAGGATTGGAGCATTAGGTTAAGGGAGAAGAGACTCCAAATCAAACCACCAGATACATACTAAGTGCCTGGCTCTGTCCTCAATGAGCCATGGGTGATGTGAACACATACTGTTTCCTGTCCTCAAGGCAATTATAATCTACTTAGGAAGGTTAGACATAAAGTGCAGGAGGAGTTAGATAACAAAATATTTAAATAGCAATTCACAGCACCACATGACTGGTTACCAAATGAGCTATAGGAGCTAATCACAAGTGTCAGTGGAATTCTGAACAAGGAGCAATTATTTGGTTATTTATGTCTTAGAAACGTATTTTCTTGCTGAGAGAAAAGAAGAGTAAATTGAACAGGGCAAAGGACGGGGCCTTGGCAGGGAAGAAGAGTAGCAACTTGATGTGTTGGTAATAGCTCCCATTTATTGAGCATTTACTATGGACACAGCAATTTATATCCTTAATATGCTTACATCTAAGTCTTTCAGAGTCTCACAGTTTGCTCTTGCTACATTTTATATTGATTAAAGCTAACACTTAGCTCTTAAAAAATTATCCCCAAATCTCAGAGGTTAAAT